AAATCTTAATTATGTTAAGCTAGTTGTGATGAAAGAGAGGGGTGCTTCATCTACTTTTACTTTGTCTATGTACTACTAAGCACATGTTTTAAAACCATATGTATGATATTCCGTAGGCAATATCACCTGCTAGCATCATAGATGCTATAGTTGCTCTAACTATTGCATGTTTAGACAATTCAGTATTATAAAAAGGACCTGTTGAATTACGGTATCTGATATGCCTGACACAATGGCAGCATGTGCTTTACCTCTCTCTTGAGATTTTTGATCAAGATATACAAGAACACATGATCGATTTAGCTTCTACTTATTAGAGGCTCTGTACTTCTATATGGTCTTCTTCAAGTGCATGTTGTAGGATTTGCCTCATTGATTCGGCACATTGATATCTGCTCTATTTGCAATTAGAACTCTTGTTCTATATTGTCATTTATAGCAGTATAATGTAGGGGATTGCACAGCGCTATATCCTCTGAGTTAATATCCGCTCCTGCTTTTATCAGACAATTTTCTATTTTAGCATAGTTAAATCTGGCTACTATATGTAGTATAGTATAAAATGCAGCAAGGTATAAAGGCAAAAACCTATAGGGCCATTGTATTGGTGGTTTACATATGATTATTTCATAATGAAAGGTGTAATCCTACTCATCAATTTAATCACATTCTTCTCGTTTTAGATCTGTATTGCTATTGAGTTTTTAGCTCTTCCACAGTATATATTATTCTTTTATCTATGCCATTTTACTTAGATCCTCTTCGATCATAATTATAATATATAACATATATTTAAATTTTAATTAATGCATAACTTAAATTTCTTCAGCTGGTGTTATGGGAGAGTGGCATCGCAGCTCACTTCATCTAATTTGCTACTAAATGTACGTTTTGTAAGTATATACATAGTTGCACAAACAGCATCATATACTGGATAGTACTAACTACCATTGATGCAATTGTAATGAAGATTAGAAATACTGTTCCTGTCACATATGGATCACTCATATGTAGCTCATTAAATGGTAGGAACGTCCACAAAAAGCCTAATTTCATCATAATTCCCATGGCTCCAGTGAATTTACAAATCATAGCAAAGGGTTTATTTGCTTTGTGGGATTTACTATACGAATATATGATTGATCTGCACCTTTATTTAATAAGAGTTTTGCAGCTTTTAGGCGATCTTCTATGAGGATTATGACTCTGGATGATTATTTTAAAGCGCATAGTAATAAGGAGTTCTATTTAAATAGTCCTGTGAAACGATACATATTCCGTTATAAATAAGGGCTTTGCTACTTCTGTATAGCCTTGTATTGCAGCATAGTGCAAAGAAGTACGATTACGTACAATCTTTTGAGTTAAGATCCGCTCCTTTTCTAATAGAGTGGACTTCTCAAATGCTGCTACGTCTACATATGGTGAGTCTTTATAGTATAAATTTATTAATTTAAACGGGGAATTTACATGTGATAATTTTATGCCAATCGCATCCTGCGTTCTTTTAAATACACCGTCCTTACCCAAATAAGAATTTTTATTAAGTACGTGTAACCTTTCTTCTATTATCATTGTCACTCAAATTAAAATATATGATATTAATCATATCATATATTTAAATATTAATTAACTTGTTTTAATAAAACTACCTACCACTTGATCCAAAGCCGCCTGTATGGCGCTCAGTTTCATCGATAGTGAACTCTTCTACGCTATGCCAAATTATTTTTGGTACGGGAGTAATAAGAATTTGCGCAATTCTGTCGCCTTCTTTTATTTCATACGATTGATCACTTAGATTAATAAGGCATACTTTAACTTCGCCACGATAATCTGAGTCTATGGTGCCGGGAGAATTTAGCACTGCGATTCCATATTTTGCTGCCAAACCTGAACGTGGTCTAACTTGTCCCTCGAATCCATTGGGTATTGAGATTATAATTCCAGTAGGCGACAAAAATCTCTCTAGTGGTCTCAAGATAACAGGAGCATCCACTGCAGCATACAGATCCATACCAACACTTCCTATAGTTGCATAACATGGCAACTCTCCGTGTGGTAACTTTTTTATTTCTACTTTTATTTCAGTTATCATTTTATTTGCACCTACAAAAACTTTATTGTAGCATAATAGAAATCTATTCAGAGGTTTTATTTGCAAAATATAACGTGAACAAGTAACATAAATTAAATTGCAAAGTTTATCGCTATCAAAAAAATAATGGAAGAAAAATTAATATATTACTTCAGTCAAAATAAATGTGAAGGCAATGCAGAAATGAAAAACCTGCTAGGAGGGAAGGGGGCCAATTTAGCAGAAATGTGTAATATTGGCATTCCAGTTCCTCCTGGTTTTACGATCTCCACTCTTGCTTGCAAGATGTACTATCAGCGCAAAAAATTATCTTATGACAAAATTAAAGAATATATTGTGATGATTGAAGATGATATTGGTCGTAAATTTGGCGATCCAAGCAATCCGCTGTTAGTATCAATACGTTCCGGTAGTGTCAATTCAATGCCTGGTATGCTTGATACTATTTTAAATGTTGGGCTAAATGATGACACTGTTGTTGGGCTTGCGCAAAAAAGTGGTCAACGTTTTGCTTACGATAGCTATTGTCGTTTTATTACCATGTATTCCAATATTGTACTACGATTGGATCACCATTTATTTCAAAGTGTTATTGATGATGCACAACGTGAAAATAGAGTAAAAAGTTTAGCTGATCTTAATGTTAGTACCTTGAAAAGGATAGTACACAATCTCAAAGATATGGTGTATAAAAACACGGGCAAACATTTTCCGCAAAATGTTAAAGAGCAGTTGTTAAGCTCTGCAGATGCAGTGTTTGCATCTTGGAAAAACGACAGAGCAGTTTCTTACAGGCGAATACATAATATTTCCGAGGATCTTGGTACTGCAGTGAATGTGCAAGCAATGGTGTTTGGAAACTTAAATAATAATTCCGCTACTGGCGTGATATTTACACGAAACCCTTCAACAGGAGAAAAAAGATGTTTTGGTGAGTTTTTAGTCAATGCTCAAGGAGAAGACGTGGTTTCTGGCATTTATACTCCTCTTCCGGTCAATGGAGCCTCAGAAAGCACCATGGAAAAACTAATACCGGATGTTTATCGTGAACTTTGTAAAGTGTGTGAAAAACTCGAAACACACTATAGAGATATGCAGGACATAGAATTTACCGTGCAGGATGGCAAATTATGGATTTTGCAAACTAGGTTGGGTAAGCGCACTACTGAATCCTCTATCACCATAATGATGGATATGGTAGATGAAGGAATAATTACAAAAGAAGAAGGTATACTTAGANACAA